GGTCTTCCCTCTGTCTGACTGACTCTCGGTGTTGGGCTCCCTCCCCTGACTTTGGTGCCCAGTCCATCCCCTGACCTGGATGGAGATCAGCAGTTCTGTTTTCCTCCCTCCTCCCTCAACCCAGTGCTTCCAATAAACGAATTCTCCTGGCGTCTTGTTCACATCTGGGAACATAAGAGTCGATTCGTCTGGGGCATGAGCGTGAGGGACAGCACTACTTGGGTCCTGGGGAGTGGACACGCTCAGCTGGCCCTGCTGGGGACAAGGTGCTTTCGGAGGCCTGTGGCTCCTCTGACTCTAGGAAGGACCCGACGGGGGCAGGCCACGGAGGATGATGCCCTACCCACCCCCGACCCCCCACTCCCTACCGGCTCAGGGCTTCTCAGTTCAGGCCAGGAACTGTCTTCAGCCCGCTGTCAACCTCCCCCTCGTCAGCAAGTACCTCGTGTCCCCCCTGAGCAGAGAAACACTGGAAAACTCAGGCATGCATCAGTTTTATTTTCTGTTCTTAAAGCCAGAAGCAAACAAACGTTAAGCATATCCCAGGTGACAAGACAACTACTTAGAACACCCGGCCTGCCCCAGGATCAGGAAAATGTCCTCTCTCCCTCACCCCACTTCCTGTTTAGCTTGGGACTCTTAACTGGAACTCAACTCTTCCCCAAAACATTTTAAATCCAGAAGACCAGCCGGGAGAAACCCTTTCCCCCGGGGTCTGGCTCTGCAACTGAGAGCCGGGCAGCGGAAGGGCACTAGGAGGCCTTGCTGGAGGCCCGGGCAGGCTTCCTACTCTCCTCAGCACCTGCCATTCTGGTGCCAGGGGACCCAGCCTCTGACGGACCCCCTCGGGCATGGCGCTTCTGCGCCCCCATCTTGAAACGGCACCGGCAAACCCAACAAACACAGGAACTCGCTAACCTGCTGGCAGGACAAACCCAAACTCAGCCCTCTGACGGCTGATGCCAAATTGCTCTCTCCCCAGATGTGTCCCCTTTCTTGGGAAGTGAGTGGGGAGGCAGAGGGGCAGCAGCTGGAGAGAGGCTTTGAGGCCTCACACCTTCTCAGCGGCAGAAACCCTCCAGCACACACTGGCGCGGGGCCGGGGAGGCCTCGGTGGACGAGAAGTACGGATGCGCAAGGGCGGCCTTGGCTGAGATGCGCCGGCTGGGGTCATACTGCAGGAGTTGCTGCGGAGGAAGAGAGAGGCTGGGCCCAGGGGTGGCCGGGGCCCCAAGCCCCAAAGCAGAGCTGCTGCCACACCCAGACGGCGCAAAGCCAGTACCTCCCGGCTTGAGAACCAGTTCTGGACGCTCCCGGAATCTGGGGACAAAGACTTCATTCTAGTCCAGCCCTAAGTCACCCCCTGTCTCCTCCACGTTACTGAGGCCGAGTCAGGCTCCCCGCTTCCTTAGGGAGCCTTCCAGGCTCCAGCCTAGTTCTAGTTGAGACAGACTCTTCTCTAGGTATCAGGATGAGGGAACCAAACCTGTCCAGGGAGCATGCTTGAGGGTGGGGCAGAAACACAAAAATCCCTAAACCTGGCCCGGCTGTGGAAGGACCCCCCCTGCCTTAGAGTAGCCAGGATGGAGGGCTAGGAGGCTCCGTGGGAAGTCCACGCCATCCTCCTGGCACTGGGTTGGGAGATGCACACAGCCCTCTGGAAAGCTGGACACAGAGCCTGAAGATGAACTTCCTGCCCTGCCTTCCTCTGACCCAACACCAGACTAAAAGGAGAAACGTGGGCAAGAATGGATAGCTCTGCCTGAGGCCCTCTGGGCAGCCTGGCCTGGGCCAGCCCAAGGGGTCAAGAGGGTACAAGCGGAGGGGTGAGTGAGGACTGGGGCAGGGGCCGCGGCAGCAGCGAGCAGCCTGCTCTGAACAGCCTCGTGTGAAGAGTAACTGCTGTGGAATGCACTGCAGGAGTACCGGAGTACCGAGGCAGTGGGCGGTGTGGTCCCTGCTGGGAAAGCTTACAGCTTAGATGGGGTAATAATGCCCACGAGAAAAAATTACCAAAACACAAGGCAACTAAGAAAAAGGGCACATGTCACAGCATAAAAACAGAGCTAACTAGCAGAGAGAAGTTTTAAAAGGGATGATGAACATTGGACTTATCATGGGAGAGGCTTCCAGGTGGAGCAATGAATACACATGGGGACAAGCCAACTCTGTATAGGGGTCAGCAAAGAGACGAGCTGGGACTCAGAAGGAACCAGGGTTGCATAAGAGGCTGGATGACAAAGGGGACACTTCTAGCGAGAGCAGCAGCTGGCGTGAGGAGGTCCTTCTCAGCCTCCCTGCCGCCCACCTGTACCTACCATGAGCAGGTCCTTGCCCTCTGGCTCCAGGTGGGGCACGATCTCCTCCAGCCCCTTCCTGGTCCACTTGGGGAAACTGCCCTTATAGTCAGGCAGCTGGGTGACTCCTGGCCACATGGCTTCATTGGGTGTCCCCAGGGTCCGAAAGATACGAAAGAGTTGGTCAATCTCAGAGTCGCCAGGGAACAGGGCTTTGCGAGTCACCTGGAACGGGGAAGGGGAGAAGGTGTGGGGTCTACTCCCTTGTCATGCAGAATCCAATACCAGAAAAGAGGCCAGACCAGGGAGGCACCTCCAAGATATCTTTCCCAGGGCTGTGCTAAAAAATCCTGGCCTTTTCTGGAAAAAGACCTTAGCCAGTCCCAAACACCCCTTAATCCACCTCTAGCAGGAGAATCAGAGCCCCTTCTACCCCCCACCCCAGAGGACCCTGCCTGTGGCCTCCCCGCGGCCATGTGTGGCCCTCTTTCTACCATCTCTGCAAAGATGCAACCAATGCTCCAGACATCCACAGCTGTCGAGTAGAACCTGCTTCCCAAGAGGATCTCGGGGGCACGATACCAGAGTGTCACCACCTGTGGGGACAAGCAAACAGCATCATTCAGGGTAGCTGGGTGCACGGGTGGCATCCCTTCTCTCCCCTCTGTCCTGCGGTACCTCGTGGGTGTAGGTGCGCAGGGGCACCCCGAAGGCCCGAGCCAGTCCAAAGTCAGCCAGCTTGATGGCTCCTAACTCATTGATGAGCAGATTCTGGGGCTTCAGGTCTCGGTGGATGACCCGATGCGAGTGGCAGAAGTTCACCCCCTGCAGCAGCTGGAACAGGTAGCTCTGGAACAGCGAGCGTGAGGCGGGGCCGGCTGAGCAGAGGCGGGGCTGGCCGAGCAGGCGTTCGCTGGTTGCCCCCACCCTGTCCCGCCCCCGGTACCTTGACTACGTGCAGGGGGAGCTTGGAGGCTGGGGTGGAGTCCATGTACTTCTTCAGGTCCTGGCTGAGGAACTCAAACACCAGGTACAGCTTTTTCTCGCTGTGCACCACGTCCAGCAGCCTGGCCGGGCGACACCAGTCAGCATGCGGCTCCCAGCCGGGCTGGGAGAGGCCCACTTCCCGGCTCCTTCAGGCCTCACCTGACGATGTTGGGATGCTTAAGCTCTTTGAGCAGGGAGATCTCCCTGATGGCAGTGCTTGGGACCCCCTCGGTCTCCCTGGAGAAGAGAGTGGTACAGCAGTGGAGGCAGCAGCTGAACAGGCCCTTCTGCTGGGGGGCGGGTGGGGGGTGTCACCTGTGTTCCTTATTCCCTAAGGATGCCCGCCCCCCTCCCCAGCGATGGGGCTCTGTGCTCCTCGGCACACACCCGTCACCCCCACCGGCCGGGGGGCAAAGCCTGGTCGGGGTGAGGACGCATGAGGGCTGCACCTCTGTGGCCCCCGTGTAACTGGGGAGCACTCGGAAAAGGAGTGGAACACAAAACCCTGTGATGAGGGACGGATGGGTGGGCTGTGGGTCACCCCTGGACCAGGGGGTCTCAGAGGCCGTCCCAGAACTCACAAATCCAGCCTGATCTTCTTGAGGGCCACGAGCTGCCCGGTCTCCTTGTTCTTGGCCTTGTACACCACCCCATAGGTGCCCTCGCCGATCTTTTCCACCTTCTGGAACACATCCATGCCCGCAGAGCCGCCCTGGAAACAGAAGGCGCCTGGGGCGTTCGCCCCCCATGCCCAGCACCCCCGCTGCCCCTCCAACCTCCACGGCACAGCCTGCCCGGCCCCTGCCCAGGCCCCCCAGCCCCGACCCCCGCCCCGGCTCCTGAGGCCTGGGGCCCCCAGGGCTCACCCTGCTCTGCCTGCCAGGCCGCCCAGGCCCAGGCCCGGCTCCCACCACCCACCAAAGCCCCAGCCCCAGCCCATCGCCGGGAACCTGGTGTGGCGCAGGGATGCCCCTCGCCCAGCCCACGCCAGGCAGAAAGCCCCAGGCCCCAAGAAGCAGCTGCCCTGGGCCGGGCTACGGAGCACAGGAGGGCCCAAACTTCTCCTGCCCCAGCCCCCGCCCCCGCCCCTGCCCAGCCAGGCCTGGACCCCGGGGGCAGAAGGCTGCCAGGAAGGGCCGCCCGGGGGGAGGGGTCAGGAAGGGCTTCTGAAGCCACAGTCCTGCCCTAGGCTGCATGGCCAGGGCGAGGTGCTGGGCCTGGCCTGTTTGGGGACGCTTGGCCTCCTGTGAGGGCAGAACCTTGGCAGGAGCAGCACCCACTGTGTCCCGGGCCCACCCACCAGGTCCTGAGCGTCCCCAGCGCTCTCCCCTCAGGCCCCCAGCCCAGAATTCACCAGAAACCCTGCGCTCCCGCAGCCTCACTGCCGGGCCGGCTGCCTGCTCCGAGGCTCCCTCTGCTGGTTCCTGCCGGCGCTGCACCACGTGCACGCACTGCTACGTCACACCACATGGCTTTATTCACGAGGACCTTCTGCAACCCTCCAGGACCCACACGGGGCCCAGCGCCCAGGGCCCCAGAGCCCGACCTCTGATCTCTAGGCTCCCATTTCTGGGGCAATCCCAGTGAACAACCCCTCCCCTCTTCTCTCCGGGAAGCTCCTGCATCTTCTCGGCAGCAGCTCCAGCGCGGGGGTGGCGGCGGCGGCGGCGGCGGCGAAGGGGTGGGGCGGTTTGCCAGGAGCTGCTGTTTTGTTTTCTACTGGCTGCTGTCCCTCTCTCGTTGGTACAGCCTCTGCTCCCGGATGGCTTGTTCTAACAAGGGGAGATTCATTCCTTCCACACAAGTCAGCACCCGGGCCTTCACCACGCAGTCTCCATCTGAAAGACACAGACACCAAGTCACAGGCAGTGTCAGCAACACACCCTGCAGATGCATTCCAGCCGTTTCCCCTCGACTTGTTCTCGGTCCTGGGTTTTGACAGAAGAGTCTGACAGGGCACAGGTGAGAAGGATGGTTTACAGGATGATGACCATTTGTCTACTTGGGCCTCAGAACTGCGGGCCCACCATTCACTACAGGCACAGGGCTGAAACTCAGGGGGTAGCCTGAAAATTCCACTCCGGCCCAGAGATGTAGCCTCTACTCCCCTCTTTTGTCATCTTAACTCCTCCCAGCTTCTCTGTAGCTCCCAAGTGCCCAGAGTTGAGGAGCAGTCTCAATCACCACCCTAGTTCTCCATTTGTACCAAAGGAACGGCCCCTTGGCTTCGTAGGGCTCACTGGCATTGGTAATTGGAGCAAAGAGAACCCCATATTTAATCAGTCCAAGGGGAGAGTCTGGCCTTACGGGGGCAAGTCATCCCATCCTGGACAAGGGGCTGGGGGCGCTTCTAGCAGATGCTGTGGTGAGCTGATGGAAAGGTTTGTCAATGTTCAGGTGACACCAAATAGGAAGGACATCTGGGGTGTGCCCTAATAGGTTGTTTTTGGTTGTTTGTTTTTTTTTTGCACTACGTTCTCTCTGCTCTCTGGGCACGTCAATGAATACATTCAGTGTTCTAGAACATTACGCCGTCCTCTTTTGATGCCGTTTTGAGATAGAGGCTCTCTGTGGTTAAAATCTATGCCTAACTTTTCGTCTAGTCTAGGCCACTTTACTGATTTAACAGAGCCCGGGGACAGAATTCAGAGAGCTGGACTGTGTAGATTCCAGGCTTCAACACAGAGAGATGAACTCATTTGAAACATGAGGTTGCCTGTGTGTCCTCAGCTTCTGTCGGCCCCAGCGCTGGACTGTAGGGGCTGCATGGCCTAGGGGGGGGGGGGGGGGAGAGCATGGGACAGTATGTGGATCTGTGGATGGATATAGACTGTTGATTCTCATCACTCAGGCCTCTTCAGGAATAACTGGCTCATCTATACTGATCAATCAAACAGGATATTTGCCTAAACTTCATTTGGCACTGAAAGGCCTAGACCTTTTCTTGTGACACATGTGGCCCTAAATAGTTTTCACAGAGCAGCTGCATGTGTTCAGGATGACACAGGGAGAGCAAGGACAAAATCAGGGTGCTCTAATTCGCAGTTAAAAATCTCAAAATAGAAGCATAGGTCAAATGTTTCCAAACTTCCTGTATGAAGATTTTCTTAGTATTGGACTTAATTTCACAGAACTTTCCTTACAATAATAATGCCTGTCAGCTCTTTCCTCCCCTTAGCCTGGGGAAACCTTCTCTTCGAGATACAGATAGTGGAACATGTTTCTTCCCGTGAATGAAGAAAAGTTATTAAAAATGGAAGTGAACTTTAGAAGTATGATTATTACAGGGACAAGTTTGGCAATTCTGTTAGTCCATCTGCAAAAGATCTGTGTAAATGGAATAAAAGAACGGCATTTGAAGAGTGCTGCAGGGGAGGAGAAAGGAGTTTATGAAGCCAGAGAAATAGTCATTTAGGGGAATCTCTTCTTGCAAAGAAAAAGAACCTGCAGCAAAGGAGAAGGGCTGAGGGAATTCCCTGGTGGTCCAGTGGTTAGGACTCTGCACTTCCACTGCCGAGGGTGTGGGTTCAATCCAGAATGCAGTGGGTTGAGGTGTGAGTCTGAGATAAGGAGGGGTGATATGGAGAACAGATCTTCTTTTAGGAAGTTTGACTGTGGAGGGAGGAGGGTCACAGCTAGGTAGGGATAGAGCTGAACTTGACATTATTGTTGCTATTATTTTAATACAGAAGAGGCTTGAGCGCTTTATATGCTGGGAGGGAAGAACCAGTGGTAACAGGTTAAGGATTCAGCTGAGAAAGCAAAGCCCCTGCAGGAAGGCAGGCATGCATCACAGCACAGGGGCTGCACCGCAGGCAGGAGGGACCCTCCTCTCTCCCAGACTGGAGGAAAGGGGCTACCGATGGGTGTGGATGCATATAATTTTAGGAGAGGCTGCAGCTGTGGCCTCAATTTTACCTGGGATGTAGGAGGTGAGGTAATTTGCTGGAAGGGATGGGGAGGTGATGACGCAGGGGGTCCTGCGTGAATGCCTGAAATAACTCTTGCAGGTCAGGGGGAGGGGGGACCAGCCAGGACATGTGGAAGGAATTCTAGGCAGCGTGAAGGGCCCGGAAGAGATAAGAGACCTTGAAACCGTTGTGCTAGGAATCCCTGGAGCTTTGTGAACTTTCTCCATCAACTGTTGGGTGGGATTGGGGTTTAATCAGGGAGGAATGATGAAAGACGAGGGGTTGGAACTTCTGCCAGGAAAGTGGTTGAAATGATAGTGAGGTCAAGCTGGAGAGGAGAGAAGGTGGTCCCGATGGGTGACGAGGCAGAAAGATACTGAGGGTGGAACCTAATTTCAGGTGGCAGAGGCGGGCGGGTCCGGGTAAGTCAGGCAGCAGTGGGGCAGAGGTGGCAGAACTGGTGCTGCAGGAGGAGCTGGCAGGATTTCTGCCCCAGCTCTGGGTTCTGTAATGGGGCCTGGGAGGCTCCACGTGGGAGGGCAGGAGGGGAACTGCTGCCTGGGGGGAAAAGGCAGGTTTCAGGCAAGTCCCAGAGAAAGGGGCTTGAAGGTTCGAGAGGACACAAGGAAGGCCTGTGAGGGCAGGAAGCAGTCAGGTGAACGGAAACCAGAACAGGTGGGATTTATGGTGCGAGCTCTGGGGCAGCTTCTTGCTATAGGCGGGTAACCTTCAGCCTGGTATTCCACGCGGGCCCCTGGAGCAGAGCGGGGCCGAGGCTGTATCCTCACATCTTAATCCCTGGACTGGAAGCCCTCGGCCCTGCGGGGTGTCCTGGCCAGCTGGTGTTGGCACGTGGCTGGCATTTCTTCTCTTTCGTGTGCAAACATTTCAGAAAGGTGCCTTGGGGGGGCCTCTAGCCCATCCTCAGAACTGCCAACCTTGCCACGGGGCAGGATCCGTGTGTGGTTGACCTTTGTGTCCCCACAGGACTTCAGACCTGGCCGGGGGCCACACATGCCACTGCAGGTTGGAGGTCAGCGACCACTGCCAAGCTCAGCCCACACTCTGCCCTCCCTCCTCATGTAGTCTCAGAAATTAGAAACTCAGGGGAAACATTTTTTTTAAGAAAAAAAAAAAAAAACCCTACACACTGTGATGAAAATAATGGTAAGTGGTAAACTAGCCAGAGCCTAGGAAGAATCCTGCTGGGTCTGAGGCTTGACTATTGAGGTTCCATTTTTTTTTGTTTTTTGGCAAGAAAAAACAACATCAGAGCAGTACTGTCTGTGCTCTCCTGGTGCATCACACCAGAGGTACACGATCGATCGGTCCGATTTTTGTAATGTTTGATCACCTGAGCTACAGTGTTCCCGGCAAGCTTCCACCTAATGATTTGAGCGGCCAGTGATAACGATCGTTGCCTGGATTTATTATTTCCTCGGGGCTTTTAACATGGTGACTTTAGAATTTAATTGTTTCTCCTGCGTTTATTCACTGTGATTCTTCTCTAAAGAACGTTCCCTCGTCCAACCATTTGGTTTCCCTGAAATACAATCCGTTCAGAAAAAGGTAGGATAAACTCAAGGGAAGGAAGAGCAGGTTTAATGCAACCAGGAGGAAGCAATTAGCTAATTCCAGACCCAAGTTCTCCAATAAATGGCATTAAAAAAAGGAAAAAAGGAAGACAGAACCGTTATAGAGACTTGGGATATGTAACCCAAAGGCAATGCATGGACTTTGTTTGCCTCCTGCTTTTAAACTAACTTTTTGTAAAAAGCCATTTTGGGGCCGAGGAGGGGAATGAACACAGACAAGGTATGTACTAGAGTATATTAAGGAACAGCTATTCATTTTGTTGGGCGTGATTGTGATGTTAGAGATAGACATTGAGGTATTTATGGGTAAATGAAATGATGTCAGATTTGCTCTAAAATACACCAGCAAAATAAGTAAGTAAATGCGGGCGATGATGACACAACAGTGGAATGTGGATCACTGCTGAATTTGGGTGACGGGTTCATGGAGGCTCATTCTACTTTTGTGCTTGTTTGATTTGAAAACATTAAATTTCAAAAGTTATATGGGTTGAATTTGTACTTTAAAGTTTTTTCCATTTTTCTTCCCACAAATAATTCTAAATGTCTTCTCCAGGTCCCACCCTGGTCCTGGCCTGATGTCCCACCTTAGTATCAACCCCTCTCTGTATCTGCAACCAGACCTTTGAGTTACAGATACTGGGCAGTTGGCTCCTGAGAGCTCCCAGGACTCCCTGTAGGGGCCAGGAGTGCAGGAGGGAGTCTCAGGTGAAGTGGGCTGCAGTCAAAGTGGAAATGATTTATTCAAGGCCCTTTGTACCCATCTCCACCCCTCCTCCTGATGCTTCTCTCAAATCAATTACGAAGGCAGGGACTCTGAGCTCAAAGGCTTAAGCCTGAATAAAGATTAACTTTTATTAAATCAAACGTAATTAAAGTAAGCCCCATTTACTTTTTTTCTAGTGCATTTCATCCAGAGTTAAAAACCACTGGAACTTTTAGAAAGTAAGTTGGGAGTGTAAATCAAGAAACATAAATGTTCATATCCTTTAATGTAGCAATTCCACTTTTAGGAAACTACCCTAAAGAAATAATCAGAAAATGGACCAAAAGATTGGTAATAGTTAAAGGCTATTAACTACCGCATTTTTAATATATATCTAGATAGATTGTTTAAACTGTTTTTTCCCTCTGGCTATATAGCAATACATTTTCATTGTCGAATGCTAATAAAAGTATAAGGAAACCCACAGCCCCACCACCCAGAAATAATTACTATTAACGTTTTGGTAAATAATATTTCAAACTTTTATGTGTATAAAAAATGTCTAGGGCTTCCCTGGTGGCGCAGTGGTTGAGAGTCCGCCTGCCGATGCAGGGGACACGGGTTCGTGCCCCAGTCCGGGAAGATCCCACATGCAGTGGAGCGGCTGGGCCCGTGAGCCATGGCCGCTGAGCCTGCGCGTCCGTAGCCTGTGCTCCACAACGGGAGAGGCCACAACAGTGAGAGGCCCGCGTACCGCAAACAAAAAAAAATCTTTAACAAAAATGAGATCATATGATACATACTGTTTTGTAAACTGCTTTTTCTCAGTAAAATACTACGAACATCTTTTCATGTCAACTGATATAAATTTACAACACCATTTTTGATGGCTGTATAATATTCTCCTGGCTGAATATCTCATAGTTTCTTTAACCAATTAATGTACAGTGTACTTATAAGAGCAAAAAATGGAAACAATACAAATGTCTAATGCTTGTGTGAATTAGTGCACACATCTCATCTGTAAAATATTATATAGCCATTAAATAGTATACCTAGAAAAAATTTTTCAAGACATGGGGGAATGCTTATGATATAACGTTAAATTAAAATAACCAGATACAACATGTTATAGTTACATAAAGCATGTGAAGGAAAATGGCACAGGGACAGCCAGAGAGGGAGGCAAAGAATACAAGTACCTAGGTTTTAAAGGTCAGGCTTCAACCCTTGATGCCATAGAGATTCTCCCAGGTTGCTTCTGTTCCTTCCCTTGTGTTTTATTTCTCTTACCCTGACTTCCTGGCCTGTTACTCCAGTCCCATCCTCTCTGAGCCTTAGTTTTCTCATCTATGAAATACCCATAAGATGACTCATTATGGGCTGGTAAGCAGATTCAAAAAGATTTAAGCAAACCTCCTAGTACCAGGCCTGGCATGTTGTAGGCCTTCAGAAATTAATGATTTCTCTCCCCCCTTTCTTGCTTCCCTACGGCAGGTGCACCTCAAGCCCAATCACATCTCTTTCCTATGAGTCCCTATAACTCGTGGGCTGATTTGGAAGGAATGTTAACCCCAATGAGGGACCCCTGCTGGGTCAGAAGCCAAGCCCAGGCACCCAAAAGACTGCCCCACTCAGGACCCAGAGTGAAAAAGGGTGTGTGAAGCCAAGGCTTACCCTTCTGTTGCTCCAGCTCCCCAAGGACCATGTAGAGGGAGCCCACCTGGGCTTGGAACGGTTCCACCAACTTGGTACAGACGAGGATCGGGTGCTGGTCAGATCTGTGCTGAGCCATCAGGGTCACTCGGGACTTTGTCATGTCGTAGCTGTACAACCTGGAAGTCAGGTAAGTGTGATCATTTCCATCCATAGAACCAACCCAAAGTTTAAAAGGTTCTGGGAGGCCAGTACATCCATGGGAAAATGTTCAGCCTCACTCGGATCAGAGAAATTAAAGTGGCAGCAACAGAAAAGGTTAATTAGGTCTACATAACTGAGGTATAAATTAAATCATTAAAAGGGACCTGTTCATTGACTGTTGGCAAAAGTATACACTGTGTAACCAGCACCCCAATCAAGCTTCGGTACATTTCCATCACCCCCAAAATTCCCCTTGTGCCCCTCTGAACTCAGTCTCCCCACCTCCCACCCCAGGCAACCACTGATCTGCTCTTGGTCTCCACAGGTGAGTTTTCCTACTCAAGCACCTCATGTAAATGGAATCCTAACAGCATGAATTCTTCTGTGTCTAGCCTCTTTCACTCAGCATAATGGTTTGGAGACCCATTTATGCTGTTGGGTAAATCAGTAGTTTGTTCCTTTTTATTGCTTGGTAGCACTCAGTTGAATGGATCAATAAATTATTATTATCCTCACCAGCTGATTTGGTTTGCTTACGGACTTGTGCTGACATATGTTTTCATTTCTCGTGGGGAAATACCCAAGTGGGATTTCTGGGTCATATGGTCAATCTGTCTGTTTAAAGGAAACTGCCAAATTGTTTTTCAAAGTGGTTGTGCCACTTTACTTTCCCCCCAGCAACATATGAGGGCTCTAGTCATTCCAAATCCTTGTCAGCACAGGATACGGTCAGTCTTTTTAATTTTAGCCACTCTAGTGGGCATGAAATACCGTACCATTGTGGTTTTAACTTGCATTTCCCTAATGACACATAATGTTGAACAAATTTTCGTGTGTTTATCTGCCCTCTGTATATCTTCCTTGGCAGTGTCTTGTTTAAATCTTTTACCCATTTAAAAATTAAGTTCTTTGTCTTCTTATTGGGTTATATGAGTTCTTTGTTTATTCTAGGTACAAATCATTTGTTGAATATAGATAATATACACACACATGTTCACTTATTTTTTACCAGTTCGTGGCTTACCTTTTAATCTTCTTAATGGTAGCTTTTGATGAGAAGCTTTTAATTTTGTTGAAGTCCAATTTATACATTATTTTTCTTTTATGGTTTTTGTTTTGTTTTGAATATTTATTTATTTATTTGGCTGCGCCGGGTCTTAGTTGCGGCCTGCAGGATCTAGTTCCCTGACCAGGGGTCAGACCTGGGCCCCCTGCTTTGGGAGCTCGGAGTCTTACCCACCGAACCACCAGGGAAGTCCCTATGGTTTTTGTTTTCTGACTCTAAGAAATCTTTGCCTATCTCAAGGTGTATGTGAAGGTTTTCTCCTGTTTTCTTCTAAAGATTTTATAGTTTTAGCTTGTTCGCTTATGATCCAATCAGAATGATTTTTTTGGGGGGGGGTATGCTGTGGGGTAGGGACCAAGATGTTTTTTTACCCCCATAAAAATATCCAGTAGTTCCAGCACCATTTGTTGAAATGAATATACTTTCCCCACTCAATTAAATTGATGTCTTTGTTGAAAATCAGTTGCTTTTGGTTAAATAAATAGATGTGGTTAAATAAATTATGGTATGTCTATGCAATGAAATAAAATGGATCTATTTAAAGTGATGATATAGATTTACATATTTGGCATGGAACTAGGTCTACCATACACAGTTAAGTATGGTACAATATAGTAATATAATAGGATCTTATCTAGCTTAAAATATTTATACATGTATGTATATATATGTCTCCAAGATGGTCCCCAATGATTCTTATCTCCTGGCATCCACATCCCTGTGTAGTCCCTACCACCCTGACTAGCACTGATCTGTGTAACCAATAAAACATTGCAGAGATGACCTAGAGTCATTTCTGAGGTTAGGTCATTGACATCGTAGCTTTCTCTTTGCCCTCTCTGTTGAGTCACTCCTTCTGGGGAAAGCCAGCTGCCATGTTATCAAGACTCTCAAGCAGCCGTATAGAAAAATCCGTATTGAGGAAGTGAGCCTTCTTGACAACAGGCAGCACAAAATTGCCAAACATGTGAATGAGTCATCGTAGAATCAGACCCTCCAGGTCCACGCCAGCCTTCAGGTGCTGGCAGCCCTGGCTAACATCTCGACTGCAATCTTCAAAGTCAATCTGAGACAGAACTACCCGGCTAAGCCACTCCCACATTCCTGACACTCAGTAAGTATGAAAAAATAAGCATTTATTGTTATTTTAAGCCACTTAATTTTGGGGTGATTTGTTACACAGCAATATGTGACTAACACAGTATATATGTATATACACATATTGTGTATATACACACCCACCCACATATACACACAAACACACATGGAAAAGCATGTAATCACCAAAAGGTTAGCGGTGGGTGGTTGTCCAGACAGTGGAATTACAGGTGATTTTTACTTTCTTTCTTTCTTTCTTTCTTTTTTTTTTGCCACACGCGGGCCTCTCACTGCTGTGGCCTCTCCTGTTGCGGAGCACAGGCTCTGGATGCGCAGGCTTAGCGGCCATGGCTCACAGGCCCAGCCGCTCTGCGGCATGTGGGATCTTCCCAGACCGGGGCACGAACCCGTGTCCCTTGCATCGGCAGGCGGACTCTCAACCACTGCACCACCAGGGAAGCCCTTTACTTGCTTTCTTTACACCCTTACGGATTGTCTACATTTTTTACAATGAATATGTATTAATTTTTCAGCATTTAAAAATTATTAGGGACTTCCCTGGTGGCGCAATGGTTAAGAATCCGCATGCCAATGCAAGGGGCATGGGTTCGATTCCCGGTCCAGGAAGATCCCACATGCCACGGAGCAACTAAGCCCCTGCACCACAACTACTGAGCCTGTACTCTAGAGCCTGCAAGCCACAACTACTGAAGCCCGCATGCCTAGAGCCCGTGCTCCGCAACAAGAGAAGCCACCGCAATGAGAAGCCCACACACTGCAACGAAGAGTAGCCCCCGCTCTCCACAACTAGAGAAAGCCTGCACGCAGGAATGAAGACACAATAAATAAAAATAAATAAATTTATTTTAAAAAATAAAAATAATTAGATAAAATTATGACTATTTTAATTTTGAAAATAATTTTGAAAATATATAATAATAAATAATTTAAAATGTAAAAATAAGTGATTTTTTAGTAATTAAAAATATGTACTTTAGGGGACTTCCCTGGTGGTGCAGTGGTTGGGAGTCTGCCTGCCGGTGCAGGGGACACGGATTCCAACCCTGGTCCAGGAGGATCCCACATGCTGCAGAGTGGTTGGGCCCATGCGCCACGGTGGCTGATCCTGGGCGCCCACGGGCCACAGCTGCTGAGCCCGCGCGCCACAACTGCTGGGGCCCGCGTGCCTGGAGCCCGTGCTCCGAACGGGAGAGGCCACCGCAGTGAGGGGCCAGCGCACCGCAGCAAGGAGTGGCCCTGGCTCGACGCGGCTGGGGGGAGCCCGCGTGCAGTGGCGAGGACCCAACGCAGCCAAAAATAAATAAATAAAATAAATTTATAAAATATATATATATACTTTAAAAATAATTTTTAAAATATTATAATTTTAAAAAAAGACTTTTAATTTTTTTTAAACATACCCCCACCATGTGAAAAAAACATTCTCACCTGCCAAACGTTCTCAGTGTGTCCCCATCAGGAACTTGGCCGGCACTGACCTCCCAGGGGAAGTAATAGATCCCAGGTTTGGGCAAAATCATTGCTCCTGTAACCAAATAGTTGAGATGGATTTTTGAAGATTCCTGACAAACCAAGCCAATCACAAGATGGAGATTAACAGACACGAGACCAGCAACAACTGAAAAGGTAGTTCCAGGGGATGGTGTTTTAAAATTTAAAAAGATTTTTTTTTTTTTATTTTAACATCTTTATTGGAGTATAATTGCTTTACAATGGTATGTTAGTTTCAGCTTCACAACAAAATGAATCAGTTACATATATACATATGTTCCCATATCTCTTCCTGCTTGCTTCTCCCTCCCTCCCACCCTCCCTATCCCACCGCGCCAGGCGGTCACAAAGCACCGAGCTGATCTCCCTGTGCTATGTGGCTGCTTCCCACTAGCTATCTACCTTACGTTTGATAATGTATATATGTCCATGACTCTCTCTCGCTTTGTCACATTTTACCCTTCCCCCTCCTCATATCCTCAAGTCCATTCTCTAGTAAGTCTGTGTCTTTATTCCTGTTTCACCCCTAGGTTCTTCATGACATTTTTTTTCTTAAATTCCATATATATGTGTTAGCATATGGTATTTCTGACTTACTTCACTCTCTATGACAGACTCTAGGTCTATCCACCTCATTACAAATAGCTCAATTTCGTTTCTTTTTATGGCTGAGTAATATTCCATTGTATATATGTGCCACATCTTCTTTATCCATTCATCCAATGATGGACACTTAGGTTGTTTCCATCTCCGGGCTATTGTAAATAGAGCTGCAATGAACATTTTGGTACATGACTCTTTCTGAATTCTGGTTTCCTCAGGGTATATACCTAGTAGTGGGATTGCTGGGTCATATGGTAGTTCTATTTGTAGTTTTTTAAGGAACCTCCATACTGTTCTCCATAGTGGCTGAACCAACTCACATTCCCACCAGCAGTGCAAGAGTGTTCCCTTTTCTCCACACCCTCTCCAGCATTTATTGTTTCTAGATTTTTTGATGATGGCCATTCTGACTGGTGTGAGATGATATCTCATTGTAGTTTTGATTTGCATTTCTCTAATGATTAATGATGTTGAGCATTCTTTCATGTGTTTGTTGGCAGTCTGTATATCTTCTTTGGAGAAATGTCTATTTAGGTCTTCTGCCCATTTTTGGATTGGGTTGTTTATTTTTTTGTTATTGAGCTGCATGAGCTGCCTGTAAATTTTAGAGATTAATCCTTTGTCAGTTGATTCATTTGCAAATATTTTCTCCCATTCTGAGGGCTGTCTTTTGGTCTTGTTTATGGTTTCCTTTGCTGTGCAAAAGCTTTGAAGTTTCATTAGGTCCCATTTGTTTATTTTTGTTTTTATCTCCATTACTCTAGGAGATGGGTCAAGAAGGATCTTGCTGTGATTTATGTCATAGAGTGTTCTGCCTATGTTTTCCTCTAAGAGTTTGATAGTTTCTGGCCTTACATTTAGGTCTTTAATCCATTTTGAGCTTATTTTTGTGTATGGTGTTAGGGAGTGATCTAATCTCATACTTTTACATGTACCTGTCCAATTTTCCCAGCACCACTTATTGAAGAGGCTGTCCTTTCTCCACTGTATATTCCTGCCACCTTTATCAAAGATAAGGTGACCATATGTGCATGGGTTTATCTCTGGGCTTTCTATCCTATTCCATTGATCTATCTTTCTGTTTTTGTGCCAGTACCATACTGTCTTGATTACTGTAGCTTTGTAGTATAGTCTGAAGTCAGGCAGCCTGATTCCTCCAGCTCCATTTTTTGTTCTCAAGATTGCTTTGGCTATTCGGGGTCTTTTGTGTTTCCATACAAATTGTGAAATTTTTTGTTCTAGTTCTGTGAAAAATGCCAGTGGTAGTTTGATAGGGATTGCATTGAATCTGTAGATTGCTTTGGGTAGTAGAGTCATTTTCACAATGTTGATTCTTCCAATCCAAGAACATGGTATATCTCTCCATCTATTTGTATCATCTTTAATTTCTTTCATCAGTGTCTTATAATTTTCTGCATACAGGTCTTTTGTCTCCTTAGGTAGGTTTATTCCTAGATATTTTATTCTTTTTGTTGCAGTGGTAAATGGGAGTGTTTTCTTGATTTCACTTTCAGATTTTTCATCCTTAGTGTATAGGAATGCCAGAGATTTCTGTGCATTAATTTTGTATCCTGCTACTTTACCAAATTCATTGATTAGCTCTAGTAGTTTTCTGGTAGCATCTTTAGGATTCTCTATGTATAGTATCATGTCATCTGCAAACAGTGACAGCTTTACTTCTTCTTTTCCGATTTGGATTCCTTTTATTTCCTTTTCTTCTCTGATTGCTGTGGCTAAAACTTCCAAAACTATGTTGAATAAGAGTGGTGAGAGTGGGCAACCTTGTCTCGTTCCTGATCTTAGTGGAAATGCTTTCAGTTTTTCACCATTGAGGACAATGTTGGCTGTGGGTTTGTCAGCTGGCTCCATAAATCATTATCCATACATTATCACACATTCAAGAAAGTTTCTGAGCAGACATATCAGGACAGGCTTCTCTTGTGGGTCAACTGGATTTCAAATACTCTCTCTAGAAGTCTGAGTAATGGTACAACCTGTACTTCAAGCCTTGCCCTTTTCATTCCCCAAGGCAAAATATCCACTTCTAGGAGAAAAAAAATCCATGGTATGAAGAAGAGAAATATGCTTCTTTTTAACAACTGGGAAGTTTGAAAATACTGTACAGGAAGGATGGTGAACCAATTTGACTGCTTCTTTCATCTTTTCTGAAGCAACTGTCAAGATTTCTGTAGTGGGATTGAAGGTCAGAGAAGTAACACTTATAACTACATTCATCATAGCTTTTATCGGCTTTGCGTTTGTTTCTTGGGGACAAGAAACTTGATTGTATATGTTTACCACCCCACAATTAGAATACGTTACTGGTTTATCATAAAAGGATATAATTCAGGAACAGCCAGAGAGAAGAGGTGCATAGAACACGGTAGGTGGGGAGGGGTGTGGAGCTTCCATGCCCTCTCTGAGCTTTGCCACTTTCCCAGCCCCTCCCTGTGTTCACCAACCCAGAAGCCATTCATCAATGTGTTTAAAGTTACAAGTCTTTGTTAGTCTATATTATACAATGAATCTCCAACATTAAAACTCGAGTTATGCCACATGATTTGACCTATGGCCTCAAAAGATTCTATCACCTGGGGATTATTTCCAAGTTTAAGTGTAATCTCAACTAAATGAATTTTACAGTAACCAAATAAAATGATTATTTTACTATGCCTTTAAACGTTTTGCAATCACCAGAGTAAAGATGAATTCAGGGAAGAATCACCACTGGATGCAAAAAGTACTGGGTAAAAGTTTGATGAAGAACCGGCATATTTACATGGTCTCAACAGTATCTCCCCCACAGATTACTTATTAATTACAAAGGGAAAAATGGTCCACTTCTCAGTGAAGAAAATTAGCAAATACAGCCTTCATGTGCCTTCTGGATGTGATGCACTAAGAAGGACACATTGTTTCTGTGATATTCCTGTTAAAAAAAAAAAATTATAATCTGAATCTAATCACCAAGAAATATCACACAAATCTGAATTGAGAGGCATTCTACACAGCAACTGGTTTATATGCTCTAAAAGTGTCAAAATCACAGAAGATAAAGAAATCGCTCCAGTTAAAGGAGGCTAAAGTGATAGGACAACTGTTATGGGTGGAATTGTGTCCCCGCAAAAAGAGATGTTGAAGTCCTAACCCCCAAGGACCTCAGAATGTGACCTCATTTAGAAAGAGGGTCTTACAGAGGTAACCAAGTTAAAATGAGGTCATTATGGAGGGCCTAATCCAATATAACTAGTGCCCTTATAAAAAGGGGAAAGTTTGGACAGAGACAGACATGCACAAAGGGAGGAGGCCAGGTGAAGGTGAAGGCAGAGATTGGGGTGATATGTATACAAGCCAAGGAAAGCCAAAGATTGCCAGCAAACTATCAGAAGCTAAGAGAAAGGCATAGAGCACATCTCACTCATAGCCTCAGAAGGAAGCAACTCTGCCGATGCCTTGATTGTGGACTTCTGGCCTCCAGAACTGTGAGACAACAAATTTCTGTTGTTTAAGCCACCTGGTCTGTGGTACTTTGTTATGGTAGTTCCAGCAAACTAATACAACTAAATATAATTTATGATCCTGGATTGGACCTTGGCTGGGAGAAAAAATTGTGATAAAGGACTTTATTGGACAATTGTAAATCCACAGAAAGGTCTGTAGATTAGGTAACAGTATTGTATCAACGTTAAGTTTCCTTAATTTGATAACTGCTGTTCTCCTGTTCTCTCTGTCCATTTAGGTGGGTCCTTGGGAGGGAGAGGAAGTAGGCACAGGAGGACGATGTTTTAACCAGAACCAAGTCCCATGGCTTTAATACCACCTCCAAGCCACCCTTCTCCATCCCTGATCTGCTCAAGCCCAGGAGTCATTCTTTGTTTGTGTTTTTTTTCCAGGAGTCATTCTTGATGTGTCCCTTTCTCTCATGGTTGCATCCAATCCATCACAAATTTCTGTCAGTTCTACCTCAAAATACATATTGAATCTATCCACTTCCCTCCATCTCCATGGTCACCACTCCATCCAGGCCTTCACCACCTTTATAACTGGTCTCTTTGTTTCCACTCTTTTCCTTCTATAGTCCATTCTCTTCATAACAACCAGGGTGATATTTTATTGTATTTTTAAATAAATTTATTTTTTATTTGTTTAGTTTTGGCTGCGTTGGGTCTTTGTTGCTGCACACAGGCTGTCTCTAGTTGTGGCGAGTGGGGGCTACTCTTTGTTGCGGTGTGTGGGCTTCTCATTATGGTGGCTTCTCTTGTGTGGAGCACGGGCTCTAGGCGCTCGGGCTTAGTAGTTGTGGCTCACAGGCTCTAGAGCACAGGCTCAGTAGTTGTGGCGCACGGGCTTTGTTGCTCCGAAGCATGTGGGATCTTCCTGGACCAGGGATCAAACCTGTGTCCCCTGCATTGGCAGGTGGATTCTT